GGTACTTTTCTCCCTTTCTCACAATACAAGAACTCGTGGACACTCCATGAAATTGCTGAGCGGTCGGGTTAGAATGGATAAAAGGAAGTACTTCTTCACCAAAAGAGTGATTAACACATGGAATTCACTGCCACAGGAAGTGGTGGCGGCTTCAAGCATGGACGGCTTCAAAAGGGAATTAAATAAGCATAAAGGACGTCCTTCTTCACCCAAAGAGTGATTAACACTTGGAATTCACTGCCACAGGAAGTGGTGGGTGCTACAAGCATGGACGGCTTCAAAAGGGAATTAGATAAGCATATGGAGCAGAGGTCCATCAGTGGCTATTAGCCACAAGGTATAGATAGGGGCTCTGGGGCAAGTGATGCTCTGTCTTCTTGGTGCTTGGGGTGGTCAACAGTGGGAGGGCTTCTAATGTCCTGGCCCCACTGGTGGACCTCCTGATGGCACCTGGTATTTCTGGCCACTGTGTGATACAGAGTGTTGGACTGGATGGGCCTTTGGCCTGATCCAACATTGGCGTCTCTTATGTTCTTATGTTCTTATGACAGCGGGGGGGGGGGAGGAGGCAGGCACAAGTGCACGGACTGATGGTCAGCATTTCATTAGCTGTGCAGTCCTAGAACACTTTTAATACAAATAGGCCTTCTAGGATCAGATATGATTCAGTTCACGATGGAAGTCAGTGCAAGGTCTGATTCAGGACCTATCACAAAGTATAATGTGGAAATCTATGAAAGAGCAACACTAGATGGTGCTGGCATCCAGCAGATTGTATATCACATATAAACATTAGTCTTTCATTTTTCATTCTGCATTGGCAAGGTTTAGAAGTGTGTTAGACTATAAAATGTAACATCCCTTGAGGCTAACTTATCTGTGCAGGAACCGTTACGGCTGGTTCACACAGTAATTTTCTCAAAGTGCTCCAATGATGAACCATGTACACTACCCTGAGAGCCTTGGAAAAAAGGTGGGTAGAAATGTTCTAAATAGATAAATAAATTATGAGGAACGAGGTAAGAGACCATTTATGAAATTCTCAGGTCCCATCTATTGGGTCGTCTTAACCAGAGAGAGCTTATAGCGTCCCTTAAAGCTAGAGAGGCCAAATTCCTCTGCTACCCATAGACTTTTAAAACAGTGGCTAAGGGTACCATCACAGAATTGGAAGCACATGGAACACTGCATTTTCTGCTGCATTCTCTCCAAAGGAGCTGCTCCCAAATATGTGCTAAAAAGGAGAAAATACTGTGTGAATGGACAGCACACTGAGTTCTGTTAGTATAGTAATGGCAAAATACATTACTGTAAGTGCAGAAATAGCTACAAAGGTATCCCTATGCGCTACAGGTTCACATGGTATTTTCTTCATGTAATCACAGCCATCCTACTGACAAGGGCCTATTATGCAGTGATGTTTTCCCTCACTTTCACTGTGCATGTCCATTGGGTTTTCCTTGTCATTCTGCATTCCCATTGCTTTCACCGTGCATGTCAGTCAGGGATTTCCCCCCATTCTGCATTGTTTTTTCTTCCTTCCGCACTCAGTTCACTTTCTGTTTGCTGTTTGCCCGGGTTTTCTGTGAGTGGTTTTGTAGTGGTTTTTACCTTTACTTCACTTCCAAGCCAAAGGGAATTCAAAAGCATACAGGTTCCCTTGGATCCCCCCCACCACCTTTTTCTGGCCCCTTAGAGGCCACTCCTCCGCCCAGGTCCTTCCTCCCACTCCTTTTGGGTCAGTTTCGTGATGGGCGTATTTTTTTTTTTAAATAGGAGATTCTTTTATCTGTATTTACTTTCAGGTCGCCATCTTCAGAAGTATTTTAGTGGTTCTTCTCCCCTTTATTGGTATACAAGCTGCAGTATTCCTTGGATTTTTAATTTTTTAATAAGCGGGTTCAATCTAGTGATATGAATTTTTCATTAATCTTGGACCCCTAGAGACAAAAAGTCCCCCTCGCCACCTCCCCAGTGGGACTCTGGTAGCCACCTGCCCTTGGGTTGGGCTCCTGCTTGGTGCTGCATGAGGCTGAGTTCCCTGCTGGTATTTACTTGAATGGGGAATTGGAGAGGAGGCAAACAGCAGCATCCCCAGTGCACAAAACATAGGATTTCAGTCCCAGTTTGGTGTAGTGATTAAGTGTGTGGATTCTAATCTGGGAGAAGCAGGTTTGATTCCTCACTCCTCCACTTGCAGCTGCTGGATGACCTTGGGCAAGCCATAGTTCTGGCACAGCTGTCCTTGAAAAAACAGCAGTTTCTGTCAGAGCTCTCTCAGCCCCACCTATCTCACAGGGTATCTCTTGAGGAGAGGGGAAAGGAAAAGAAGTTTGTAAGCTGCTCTGAGGCTCCAAGCAAAGGGTGGGGTATAAAGCCAATCTCTTCTCTTCTTCTTCTCTTCTCTATGGGTTGCCCATAACTGGAGAAGCACAGCGGCAGTGAGCTGGAGGAAGTGGAGGAGCAGGGAGGAGAGGAGAGAAAGGGGAGGATGTGGTGTGCTACCTTCAGCGCTGCTGTGGGCAGGTGTGTTTGCTAATGGAGCAAGAGGAGGCTTGGGGTCAGGACATGTATCCATGGAAATGTCCGGGTGAGAAGGCGCTGCTGCTGCCTCCACCATCATTGGACAAGGCGGGGAGGGTGGGGATGCTTCCACCGCCATTCCTGCCAGTCCTCCCACTGCTTCCAAGGGCACCCCCTGCCCACCACTCCTCCCCCTCACTGGCCAGCTCTGCCTCTACCACGGCCCCTCAGGCCGGCTTCACCTTCTGCCTCCAGCATCAGTGCCTGACCACTGCCCACCCCCTGCCAGGAGGACCAAGGGGGCATGAGGGGTGGAATGAGAGGGGGCAAAGGAGACGCTGCTCTTCCCTTGGCGGGAGTTCATGGAGCTACACAATTCGCAGCCGAGGCCTTTTTCACCATTGCGTGCACACAAGGAGCCTCTCTGGCTGCAAAGTTGCTGCCACCTAGTCCAAGGAATTGGCTGCTTCGCTGTCAAAGTAAGCATTCCCTCTATACACACACACCCCTCAAGCGGTGCTATTATTTATTTGGTTCCCCTCTGGCCCTCCTCCTCCTGACTCACCCTGCTTTGCGCTTCTTTACAGGGCCAGTTCTCTGCCTGCTGCCTGGTATGACTATGGAGAGAGCCAGTTGCTACTGCTGGAAACTGGCAGGGATGGAAAGGCAAGAGGTTCCCTACTCCACAGCCCTCAGTGTAATCCTAGCTTGCCCAGAACTTGGATTATGCAGCCACTGCTCCACCCTGGGCCGAGTGGTCTGAAAGGAGGTGCCTGCAGAAAGCAAACAGGCCCTGCAGACTTAAGCAAGCAAAATGAGACTCGTGCACCTGACTCCTTGCTCGCTCCCTTCCTTTTTGTCTACACCAGCCCTATGCAAAAAAGCATGCAGTTGCAGCCGACTTTGCACAGGCAGGTGCACACACACAGACACAGAGACACATGTTGCCAGCAATCACCGCTTGCAATGCCAGAGAGGAGAGAAGAGAGAGACTGGATTTATACCCCACCCTTCACTACCCAAAGGAGTCTCAGAGCACCTTACAAACCCCTTTCCCTTCCCCTCCCCACAACAGACACCCTGTGAGGTAGGTGGGGCTGAGAGAGCTCTTTTGAGAACTGCCCTTGAGAGAACAGTTCTGAAAGAACTTATGACTGACCTAAGGTCACACCAGCAGCTGCATGTGGAGGAGTGGGGAATCAAACCTGTTTTTCCCAGGTAAGAGTCCGTACTCTTAACCACTACACCAAACTGGCTCTCAGTGCGTTCTACCATGCATTCTGTACACTCAACATGTTCCCTCATATTATGAGATCATGTGACTCTTTCCCATTTTTCACAGTGGCTGATAGCACAGCAGAGAATAACGCAGCAGAGAATCCCCTGGTGCTTTCCAATATGGAAAATGGGGCTTCACAGCTGCTTGTAAGTTTCAGAAAAAGACTGGTCAGTTTCAAGTATGGATTTTCTTTTGCCTGAGTTCCTTCCAGTCTCCTTTCATTCAAGGAACACTAAAAGGCATGTGCAAAATCTGAACCATGAGGATTTCAGTGGAAGGTGTTTGTTATACACTACTGTGCAGCTGCGATGGGACAATTGCGTAAATTAAAAAAAAACTTTGGACACCATCCTGCACATGTCACAAATGACATTCCTACTCCAATTAAGAAAAACTGTGTTTTTTGGTTGCAGATGCAGAATATACATCTAGAAATACACCGGTGGAAAAAAGAATAGTGCATGCGCCAGGCACACAAATCCGAAGTGAAGCTTAAAGGCTTGACTGCTTGGATTCTCCAGAGTAAGCTGTCAGTGCATAATGGGCCAAGGAGACTGAATGATCCCTTAGGTTACGCGGAAGATTGTGCTTGATTATATATGGCTTAGTCTACAGAATCTATAGTGCATGGGAAAGCATTTACTCCAATCAGCTCAGCCCTCCCAAGCCAGTGCTATAGTTTCCCCAGCGCTCAGTTACACGCCACAGATAAGATCTGTACTTTTTCCCAATGGAGAAAAAGAGGCTAGGGGACCTATGAGGACTCAAGGGGAGGGAGGGAAAATCCCCCCTGCTGGTTCTGGCTCCCATTCTACCCTTGCCCCCACTTCACCCCCAACTGCCTTCAATCCCCCTGCATTGCTGGCTCTGGTTTCACTTCCTTTCTTCTCCCCAGATCTGGTTCTTCTTCCTTCCCCCTCCACTCATGCCAGCTGTCACATCATTCCCTTCTTGTCAGCACAACTGAAAACTATCATGGCTCCCCAGACACAGATTCCCTCTGAACCCTGCTCACAACAAAAAAATGGTGTGGAAACAAATCAGATTAATTTGACTGGCTCCATCGGGCACCATGGTGCACAGTACCCCCCTCCCCAGAATTTTGTTCCCCATCTCACAGCAGCCTGCTCATTAGTTGTCCTTTGCCCCCTTCACATACCCTGTGGTCTCTCCTCTCCTTGACTCCGCATATCCCACCCACCACCACCACCACCACTACTTACCTTCTTGTGGTAGCAATATAGGGAGCAAAAGCTTAAGTGTGTGGGGGAGAGTGAGTGAAAGAGAGACTGAGACTCTCAAATCTGCACAGCTTAATGGGAAAAATGTTTATGGGGGACTTTGCAGAAGCTGGTCAGGTAGAAAACTAACCAGTTAGGGGGATTTAAAAGTGATTAGCCTGGAGTTTGCTAAGCAGGGTCAGCCACAGGCAGTACTGGGATGGGATACCACCAAGGAAGACCGGGGTTACAATGCAGGGGGAAGACATTGGCAAACCACCTCTGCTCCTCTCTTGCCTTGAACAACCCCTGGTTGGAGCTGCTTTGAGTGAGGTGCAACCACACTGCTGCTTAGGAAGATCTCTCCGGATCTATTGATGGGCACACTAATTGGTTTGCCAGTGTTACTTGAAAAGCCTTCTCTGAAAAGAACCCAGTGTGCTCCACTCACAATGACATTCATACAATCCAATGGCTGGGCCTTTACGCTATGGAGGGGGATTTTGTCATCTTATTGGCTGAAGATACTAGGCATTAATTATTATATTTTTCCTCCCTTCATTTAGGTTCCATTCATGAACGCAAGCAAGAAAGTGGATTTGAAAATCATTATCGTTGGAGCTTTAGGGTAAGCACTATTCTTTGCCATGATTGTTTTCCCTGTGGATTAATAATCCTGTGGATGATTCTTACATAATAATCATCATCATCATCATCATCATCAAAGAGTGGCCTTGACTTTTTGTTCAAACCTTCTTCATTATGTTCCTCTAAAAGTGAAAGACAATCAACAAAGGAAAGACCTACGTTTTGTGTCATCAAAATTTGAATAAAAAGCAGGCACAGATAGTCAGTAAATCAGCAGTGAAACAACAAAGGCTACAAAAGAATACAGTTACTCCAAAACGTGCTGCATTTTCAGAAACATTCTTGCAGAACACTTTTATTTTATTTCAGAGGCTAAGACTGATCTTCAGATTTTGTTAAGGGCTGAAATATGGGGTCATAGAGGAAGGAGAATAGCGGAAACAGCAGAAGTATCCATTATTGAGGATAGCAGTGGTTGGTCATGGGCGCATGCATGCTAATAGTACTGACAATGGGGAAAAAATATTCCCATGTGAGAAGAAGAAAGCATTACTTCACATCCAAAATTATTGGCTTACTATCTTGCCATGGGGTATACAGTGTGAAAAAACAAATAATGGCTGACACCAGCAAAATACACATTCTGTGCTGTGCATGGGGTCCCCAGGCCTGTGTGCCTTGTTCCATAATACTAATGTGGGGGCAAGAGGGTATTTGTAGGGGAGATGCAGGAGATAGTGTTGAAATGTTCCCTTCTCCTCTGTTCCTCTCCTGCAACCCCTCAACTCTTTTTATAATCCCCCTTTTTTTTTCAGCTGGCCTCTGGGGCCAGAAATAAACACATTGGGGCATGGGGAAGAAGAGGCCGCAGGGAAAAATTGGCAGGCAGGGATGGAATTCAGCTTCCTGCTTCCAGTCTGCAAGTTGTCCCCTGCAAATTCCCCCTAACCCTGCATTACCATTAGCTGGCAAGGACCTATTATTTTTCATGTGTAGGTCATAGTTTCTTCATTAGACAATCAAAGGTTATGGCAACAACAACAAAAACACCTCATGCACTTAATTCACCCTTTTGGCTTCTGGAATTATATATGGGTGGGGGGAGGGATCTAAGAAATTGTGAAAACAGACGTCAAATATAGGGTCAATGGCATTAACATCCAAGGAAATTTGACAATGACTGTCCATTATAAAATGGATCCCTTTTTTAAACATAGTTAAGTCTAATTATGGCTATGAAGGTTACTTCGCAGATGGTGGCAGAATCAGCCAGAAGACAAGGGAGATCCCCAGCCAATCAGTGCAGTTCAAAAGGCAACTGGACCCACCTTATGTGTTGATTGTTGGTGCTAGCGACCAGTAAACCAAATTTTGCCTGACCAAGGTCCCCAAAGTGTTGTTCTCCAGTAAACAGTTAAGAACATAAGAACATAAGAGAAGCCAATGTTGGATCAGCCAATGGCCCATCCAGTCCAACACTCTGGGTGATTCCGCACTAGACCTTAAATCTTGGTTCAACCCTGTCCCCAAACTTACATTCTACACTACACTTGAGTTCACCCCCGTAATTATCTCAGGATATTTTTTGTTTCCACATTACATTGAAGTCACCCCGGTTTCGCCCCATGCTTGTCCTGGGATAAATGGATGCTGTTATAACCAGGGATAAATGCAAGGTATTGTGTAACAAGTTGAACTTTAATAAAACCAGGGATGAGATCCAAATGCAGAAAGCACCTCTGCCACACAATGGCCAAAAA